AAAAATTCAACGAATCGTAAAAACTTCGTAAACGCGTCCCCTTCATTTTTCTTTGCTCGCTTGGCTCACGTACCCCGAAATGAAATAAACAAACCGCCTTCGCAACGTTTCTCGAAGAGAAACAAAAGGACCACGTATACTCTCTCAAAGTGAATCAGCAAAAGTGTTTCTGATTGAGTCAGTAAAGGAACTAATTCACCGATTTCCACTGAAAACACTACCATTTTATTGCTTTATTCTTTGCTGATTTAGATCAGTGAGTTAAGGATTCCACTGCAAAATCTGTAAGGGGCACAAATTCGCGTTATACGTTACACCAGATCTCCTTCTTCCCCTCAGCTTTGAGCGTTCGTGACAATAGAGTTTACGGCCTCCATGCGATTTGCGTGCAATCATACTATTTGTGTTTGCAAAAATTATATCAATAATAGGAACAGTCGTTACTATTAATATTTTTCAATGAGATTTTACCGATGACAGTGCTGTACTACTTATAATTGAACCATCAGTTACAAGTATAGCATTTCGGTGAAGAGTACACTGTGACTGAACTTTAGAGGAAGTACGTTTTATTATATCAGTACGGATACATAATCGCACGTGCCACATTTTTCTGAAGTGTCACACGTGGGTAGTCTCTGCTTTACGCGCAAAAGGGAATCTCGAGTGAGAATAAATTACAGTTCCGGGGGACGCTGTTGAAGTTTTACAAGTGCCACACAAGGAGCGTGGGTTATACCCGCGCAATTTCTACTGAGGGCGTAGCATTTAATTGAATCCGGTGTATAGGTCGTACTCACGACTTGTTTGTGCACGAACTAATTGTTCCTGGTGACGCGTACAGTCAAATCAACGATGCTGAAGCTACTGCAATATCGATAAACTGCTGGACTGCGTAGCTGCGCGCTCACCTGTTTGTTCCTCGGAACGAAGTCGCGACATCTACTTAATATAAATCTGACGAAACGACGAATTTTTGTGTGTCGGCCAAAATAAGCCGAAACAATAGTTTGTTTCGGCGAACGTCAAACTACAAAGGAAAAGATCAGCTAAAGAAACAGAAAAAAAAAAAGTAATAAAACATTTTTAGTAAAAATTGCGCCCAGTCGGGCGAGAATTAACGTGCCCTTTATTCTTATGATATTCTATCGATAATTATCTATCGATATCCTGGAATTTATGCACCTTTTAAAGTTACGAGTATTCTCCGACGCGTTTACATTGCGATATCGTTCTGCGTTATTTTGTCAGCTACGGTGAGCACGCTTTTACAATCAGAGTTTGCGTTTTATAGTTGCGCACAATGCGCGTCATTATCCGGGAAAAATGAATATGGGAAACGAGATGTATGTATCGTGGCACGAATATATATATATATATATATATATATATATATATATATATATATATATATATATATATATATATATAT